TATAAGTATGAGAGTACCGGACTAAAGTGGCAGTATTACTCAGAGGTGACCTCAAAGTTCTCTTGATTAAGACTCGCCGTGCTTTCACGGGGTCGTGGTTTTGAATAAGCGTACGTTTTGAATATGCGATTATTTGAATAAATTAGGGCCGAGCACAGGGCATCTATTTAATTAAATATAATATAATAAATAAATTAATAAGCAGACCTTAACACTTATTTATTTCATCAGAAAATGAGATTGCCGGAAAAATTTTAGATGAGAGAAAAATTATCAATAATTTGCCATAAATATCGGAAACCATTTGGTAAGAAAAGAAACGACGAAAGCGATCCGCGAAGCGTGGAGAAGGGAAAAAGAAAGCTGAGGGATAGTATATAGTCAAGGCGAGAGCGAGCGATATGTACCTTGTGGCGTTTTCCCAGGATTTGTTTTGGGGTGGTTTTCGGGGAACAGCCTGACAAAGAAAGAAATATTCTATCTTCAGTCTACCGTGGAGATCGAAGAAATATTATTTATTGAAGCATTAATGAAAGGCGCATTAGTCGCTTTTACCCCTCGAGTTTTCTCTCGCTCTGCAGCAAAGAGCTTGAGTGGTACGTATAGGGCCGAGTGTGAATATCACGCGAACATTAATCTTCAATCTTTCAATCGTTTATAAATGATATTTCTCTCGAAGCTGTCATTCAGTTGGTGATATAAATCATTCTGGCACGAGCTGATCTGCGGCAAGAAATTTCTTTTCTAAGTCTATCAATGAAAATTAAGAAAAGTGAATTCATATTTCAATTGTCATTCCATTATCGTCACCTAGAGCATTTATCGTAATTTACTTTGAAAACGTTATTCTTCGATAAATTATAACTAAAACAATTTTCGATAAGCTTCAGTTAAAATGTTTTTTGAATATTCGTTCAAAAAAATATTTTAATATTTGTTCAGAACAGTTTCTTTTTCGTTTTATTTTGAATTTTTTATAAAATAAAAAAAAACTAATAAATGAAAATATCATTCATCTCTATACATTACAGCGACGCCTTCTCGTATAAAAATTTTGAATTAAAAAGTAATCATGAAACACCATAATGGCATTTAATTACAAACTAGAAGAGGAAATGTTTCGATGTTGCATGAGATTGGCTATGTATTATCCAATTTCAATGTTAAAACTGTAGCTCCACGTTGATATTGATGAAAGGATTTAAGCTAATTAGAACGTTCAAATTACCAATAACGTCAAGAAGCAGAGGCCAACAACAATAGTTGGCTGAAGAACATTTTCCATCAATACAGTAAGGATATCGAATATTACTTCAGCAAACTAAATGAACAAGTATCGAATGAAGGTGTCAGAAGGCAACTCATTCAAGAGATGGTATCGCAGCAATCTACGAGCAAGAGATCATCGTCGGAAGGAAAAACGAAAAATCGAGATAACGAGCAAGACGCTAATGAACGTTTTCTCTCTCTTCCTCTCCTTGTCTCTCTTTAGCCAATGCGCCCGCGCATGCCAAATATGCCAGAGAGAGAGAGAGAGAGAGAGAGAGAGAGAGAGAGAGAGAGAGACGGAGAGAGAGAGAGAGGAGCAGCTCAAGCAAGGCAATATAACCCGCACGGGAGTGTAATAAAAGCTACTGAGCTTGATTGGCAATATAATAGCCCCGCGCTCGAAACAATTAAGTGTTGCGCACTTCTCGTGTTACTCCGGCAATGCAAAACAAGCTACGCCGCTACCGCCGTCGGCGAATTGGCGAGCTGCGAAGGATGCTGCGCGTCCATAACGACGAACAATAGAGGAGGGGGAGAGAACCTTCGATATATGCCAACGCAGAGAGATAGAGCGAGAGGAAGAAGCTCGTGATGGACGGGATGAGGTGCTTTATTAAGCAATTCATTCGAGCTAGCGTTTTGTTATGCCCTTCGCGGTTTTTGCGTATCTCTTGTTTTGGAAAATCCAGGCCATTTTAAAAAGCATAGCTAGGGAGATCATCATATTTCTACTGAATCCCGAAAGCTTGCTAATGAAGAGATCAAGTGGTTTAGCGGTCTCAATACAATTTTTATGCGAGGAATGCGAGCGTATACACGCAGCTGACGGTAGTAACTTGCGGGCATGCTGGCGCTGCACGAGCTATACACGAGAGATGCAATGTTAATTAAAAGCGGAAAATGCGGTGAATCCTCATAATAAATGCTAGGGTCAGTCTGCTGCGGTCGACTGCTTAACTCCAACTGAAATGCAAGCTTTGCCGGGGCGGTTGGCAGGTCATAACTATACACCTTTATGCTATGCCTTATACACGCTCCGCTTGCAAAATATAAACGATTGATTAAAATACGAACGCCCGGAGCACGTTGAAAAAAAAACTTACAATGCCGCATCAATCATCTCTCGCCGTGGGTACAAGCTACATATACATTTTAGATACACGATAACGAAACGACTGACACGCATTTCAGCCCATAGCTGGCGACCTACTATCAACAAATCTATCCACACACGAGCGAAAAAAAGACACGTGAAAGAAAAACCTATGTCCGCTGATAAGTGAAAAAGCGCAGAGTCGAGTGCATTGGGGGGAGAGGACTGTGATGCATCACGCGTCCAGTAAACATACATCTTCGCTAAAGTGCAGCGTCGGCTTCGACCCTCGCTCTGTCGCATTGAGAATGCATTTATGCAAGCCGGAGATCGAAAATTTATAAAGTCGACATTTGCCGCTGTGTGTGTGTGTGTGTATGTGCGTATGCATGTGTATCACCTATAAATTTGTACAAATAGAGAAAGAGAATGACGACGTTTCAGATAAATGAGTGCGTAAGCATCGATAAGACAACAAGCGTGTTTAACTTTCGATGATTGATGTTATGTTTACTAAAGCCATCTGTTGTGCGATGCCGCGCCGTTGTTGACAAATTAATTATATGATCTGTGCAATGTGTGCGGGTCGGTACGTTTTGACGCAAGATATGAGAAAATTTACTAATTATAAAAGTACAATGGGAATGTTGGTTCATCTCGTGTCAATCATGAATATTCTTCATGCTTATATATCTTTACTTTAAAGTCTTTCTAGAAAATCTATTATAATTTTTAATATTGATTTTTATTGCCAAACGCATCATTCAATATCAAGTAAACTTTATTAATCGAAATATAAATATTAGTTTTGTAGTGAGCGAAAAAAAATTCAATCAATGAGGTTTAAATTCATCTTATGTACAGTCTAACAAGCAGAATATCAAAGCAGACAACTGTGGCACTGCAAACATGAAATGACGTATCATAAAAGTGACGTTAGTGCTAATTGATATCTCACATTTCATTACTCCCGTTCAACTTGAGACATTCCCAATTACAGCTCATGAGAAAACCATTCGAGCAACCCAAACGTATACAATTAAAATCAAGCGCACATGCAGCGTCGCTGCTGGCCTTTTGTTCAAACGTCAAGGGTCGCGGCTGAATATTCATGAGTCCGCGCGTTCGATCCTCGGGGGCGTGACACTCTCAAAAGTACACCTAAAAAGAGCCTAATTGGCTGTGCCGTGTCTTTCTAAAGTCGCGTCATAAACACTCAGGGCCACCGTGATCGCGCGCGTCCTCTTGTTTCTCTCTCTCTCTCTTTCTCTGCCGCGTCGTCTCCTCTTTCGCCGCGATAAGTAGCCTCGCTGAACGAAGATCAGCCGTAAAAGTTGCCTCGTTATGCCGTTGTTATTTATGTTACAACCCTTCGGGCTTTGATGCGCGCCGAGTTATGAACAGTCTTTCAGAGCTCGAGGGATGTTGGAGCCGCCTAAACTTCGAACGCGAGACATTTGTCGGTTTCTTTCGCGGTTGACTTTTATATAGCTGTTTGACTTTTATTGAGAGCTCAAAAAAACCGTCGTGCTTATTTTTTGAATGTTAGTTTCAGTCGCTCTCATGAAGTTGCTCGAAAATATAACGATGATCATTGATGCTTGACGATAAAATTTATGGGTGCTAGAAAAATTTGTGTGTATATATATACTGTGCGTCACTTACTAAACTCTTCGAAAACTGCTGTATAAGTTTTTATTTTCCATCATATTTCATCAGAGTGGCTTTTGAGTTTGACGCGTACACGTGAAATTACTTATTTTATGATCAAGGAAATTCTGTTTGATCAAGATATTTCAAATGATCATATTTTACAATTAAAAATAAAATTTTAAATGACCTACTTTATTTGTTAGTTTCAATTTTATTAACAAGAAAAATATATGAATTTATTTTTTCATATATTTGTGATTCTGAATCGTTTGCTCGACTCACAAAGCGAAAAAAATGTAGTGTGCAAAAGACAAAGAAGAAAGCACATGGTATGAAAAAAATTGATTGGTCGACAAACAGATGCAAAGATTAAGCACAGCGCGAATAATAAAAAGTAAAATAGGTAATCACGAAATGCGAACTGAAGCTTTTGTCGCATTGAAAAAAGCCACGAGAGGAAGAGGCAGAAAAAAAAATCTGTCGATCTCGGTGCGCAGTGGCAGCTAGCATCCAGACACTACACAATGCACTCGTCAATGAAACTGCACTGTTCGCGTTGACGTGCGCAATTGAGGGGCTGATCCGTCTCGTCTGTCGCGCGCAGCCTCTTTCGTTCGAATGTATAAACTGTCAGACGTGACAGCGCGCTTCGAACAGCCAACAACGCATCGCACTCACACACGCGTTTCTTCGATCTCGACTCTCTACATCCTACGCCAGAGATTTTTATTAAATTGCTTAACCAGATTATACTACGACTTGGTTCTGTCGTCCAGAGACTAATTTTCGTTGTCGAATTCCGTTAACTCACACAGGCGACGCAGACCCAATCGCTGTTCATTAACTTGATACGACAAATATGATTCTCGACTACGCGCAGACAGCGTGCAGACAGCTCGCGCTTCGATGTTTCAATTTATTTTTGTTTGCTTTCGGGCTTGTTGACAGTACAATGTTAATTTTATAATGGATCTCGTGAGCTTTAGCGAATGGAACGTTCAGTTTCTTCGAAACAAATGCAAACTTGCGTTTTCATTTTTTCCAATCAGTATGATACAAATAATAATCATTCGACTCGTATTAAACGTAAAAGTTTATTGTCACTGTCATTCAGCATCTACGTACAGTAAAAAGATCTTTTCTTTTTTCTGGTGCACATAATTCATTTGCGTTGCCTCGAAAGCAACATTTGTTCAGTTTCAATGCACAAAGTCGCGTACGTAGTAAAATAAAGTGATTCGATTATCATCAAACTATAGTGCGAGTATACATTTTAATTTCATAAAATTAAGAAGTTCCACTTAAAATTGTTATAAATCCCTATTAATTAAAAATTGTATAAATTAAATATGCATTAAAAAATTACGAAACAGGCTCCGGGTGAATGATATTCCACTCGGTAAGTGCAGTAACCACGCGGTTAAGCTTCAAGCGCCATTCAGATAATTCTTCATGACTGTCGTACGATAGCAGATGCCTAGAATACAGCACGATGATCTTATATTAAACGAAAGTATCAATTGTCATCAAACTAATACACCATGGCAAAGTGTATAACAATACAAATATTTACTGGGAAATTTTCGAAAGCTTCATGAACGAACCTGTGAATCGGCGCTGTTGATCTTCCATCGATGATAAAAAGATCATTGTGTTTGGCCTTACTCCTTGTCTCAAGTAAAAGTGTCTTGGGTCTCGGACACAGCTTTCTGTCGATGAGACCGATACTGCTTGAGATGCAATCAACTAAATCGATGATATACATTGGTGGATTGTACTCTTGCTCGCGTGGGTAATTCCAAAACAAGAGAGTGTGACCTTCCAGTAAGCACCAACGTCTGCTCCAAGCCAAGTCGCCAGACTCCTCGCAATGCGTCACGAAACCACCGTGGAACATCGACAGTTCAAGCTTGCACGATAAATTGAGGTCTACGGTGCCGTGTAGCACGGAGTTCGATGATAGCTGTTCAAACGAAAAAATTATTATTAGTATCAGTTCCAATTCGACGTTTAAATACAAATTTTTAATAAATATTATAGTAATACTTGCCGAATTCAAAGGCCACGGCGATACGAGTTTCAGATCGTATAATGTTAAGTCAACAGCACCGCAAAATGTGAACGACGTTTCCTTAATACCGGTGAACTTGACTTTGTATTGCTTCGGCGAGAAAGATTTCCTTCTATGCGGCTTCGGCGTTTTTATCGTGTTACTACTGCTGAACGTGAAATTGCGCGTAATGTGGTACTTGTCGTCGTGGTTAAATAGCTGTAGTTGTTGTAGTTTCATGCTATAAACTTTGATCGACAGACGGAAATCTGGGGTCAAACCAGAAATAATGTGTTGGCCAGGGAAGTAAATTTGCGGACTGGAAATAGGACAGGCAATCGCGCGAGTTGCCCAAACTGTCATTCCATGAATAACCACTACCACGAACCATTCCACAACGTCACCGTTTTGTCGTTCGCGACGTAACATGTCTTCGCGCAATTGCAGGCGAATATCTTTTAGCGTCACCTCACCACGTTCGTTGTAACTGCATTCCTAAAAGAAAAACAAACAAGAGTTTTCACTTCATCGCTGAGATGAAAAATGACAAGAAACGAACAAAAATGTAAAATACAAACTTCGTTGTTGTTGTAGACTTGTTGGCTACTCAAACGATCGATTTCTCTCGAAATCGCTTTTCTCGTCAAGCTCGCCAGGAGTAAAAGACGCTCGTACTCCACGCGTTCAGGACTGTCAGTGAATTCTCGCATCGAGCTGCAAAGTTGTAAGGCCTTGCTCGCCTGGTAGATCAGCGTATCTTGAACAGCAACTTTTTCCTGGAGTTTCTCGATTATTTCTCTCAATTCAGGACTCCAATCTTCGGGTGCCGTTTTTTTTTGAGAAAGTGTAGATAACACATCAGAATTCGTATTTTGTTGAAAGAACGTAGATAAGTCTGATTTGGTGTCGTTGCGATCATATCTCCGAAATTTCTAAAAAAATATAGAATGTACCGAAATTCGATGAACTCAGTGGAAATAAAATAATTATCAATCACTTACATCACTTATCATTTGCGTCAAAGATCTGTACATAGACAAAGTCCTATTCAATGTTCCCGAGCGTTTCAACGGCTCGCTCTTTGGTGCAATCACTCTTCGTTTTTTCTTTTTATTGGAATAAACACCATCGTCGCTCAAAATTGTGCGGTTTAGATCTGCCGAATCGTGAGTCGAATATACCATCGTTGAATTATATTGCTCATTCCCAAGTGCTACTTCCAAAAAGCCCTCCATCTGTTCAACAGAATATCTCACACGAGTTTATTGTATTTGAATATGGTAACTTTTATGAGTTCATTTTGTTTTTTAGAAAAAACAGCCCGTTAAACAAACCTCAGATATCATACTGTCATCTACGTCAGGTGATGCATTAGCTTCCACCTGTCGAACTTGCTGTAGAAACCGAGCATTAGATTTTTCAGCGTTGGAGCTATCCGCTGTGTTGTGTCGAACTAAAGTGCTGGTATTCGTTTGTGGCAAATTGCTACTATCAGCATTGTTTGTTCTCACTCTCTTTGATTCAATGTTAGACTTGCGCCGTCTCAATTTCGGAGTGCGCAAGTTCTTGAACAGGAAGCTTGTATGGCGTTTGATGAATGAGGTATTTTTAGAAACACTTTGCTCTGGGTTTTGACTGTCATTTGCAACATCATATGTGAACGTTGCATTTTTTAAGCTTTTATTGCAATTGCCTGCTGAAAAATCAATATTCACAAATACAAATTTATAAATACTTCTCTATCAAATTATAGTCAGTAATTATGCAATCAGTAAATAAAAACGCTGTTAACAGCAATTGCATAATTAAAGAAGCATGAAAAATACTATGCTTTTTTTGCAAAATGAGTTCGTTTTATTAAAAAAAAAAATTAGTAAATTTCAAGCCTATACATTGTACCCTTATACTTTGATCAAAATCATTTTATAAGTAGCTTTTAGCATTGAGGTATTGCATCACGATACACTTTTTTACATTTCTAAAAGTTAAATAACATTACACAATGCTAACTTCTATTTTTCTATAGTACAACTTCTATTTTTTTCATTATTCGGATCAACTTTCAAATGCTTATAAAAATGGAATTGGTAAAAAGATCAGAATCACACACACGCACATATGCGCACGTGCGAACATGAACAGATGTGAATAAAAAATGAAACAGAAGAGATCTACACGATGTCAAAAAGTTAATAACGTTAATTAACAAAGTAGCAAAAGAAAAGCAGAATAATATTTACGAACTTGTAAGTTTGGAATTATCACGTTTGCAAGAATTATCCTTTTTATCGATGGTATCTTCGGATCTCTTCTTGCTGACAACTTTGTTTCCAAATGTGATATTCATTGGAGAAGACATTCCATCTGATAAATCATTAATATCTAATTTGTTCATCTCGCAATCGAGTTCTTTGAATAATTCGGAATTATCTGTCGGTGTGACGTCACTCTCCAACTCTTGGCTTTTCCGGTTGTTCTCGTTTTTACTTGTTTTCACATAAGTAAGTTCAGCTTCATCAGCTTGAACTATGGTGGAGGTAGAACTCTTACGATGATGAGGGATGATCGTTGGTTCGCAAATTTCAATTACTCGATGATTGAAGAAGTATCCATCTATCCCTTGAAGCTGCATTTTAACGTTGCATTGCTCGAGTTCCCTTTCGTGCTGTGCGTTTAGTGTAGTTTGCATAGCTAACTCTAAACGTAAACAAACATACGAAGCTTTTGATGTTGTATTACGACAAATTGTTGTATTAGTTGAATTTAATTTATATGCATATTTGTAATTGTCTGATTACGTAAATAAATTCAATAGCAAAAAATGTAGAAACATAAAATTATGATACATCGAAAAGAGGTAAACGATGTACGATTCAGCAATAAAATGTTTTTAAAAAGTGCAAAACCAAAGATTATATAATTAAATAAGAATTTGATGCTGATAAATAAAAGTGTGTAATTTTACCACTCGCTGTCAAAGGACCTAAGAGTTCTCCAACTGGATGTGTGGGCTCGTTTCTGGACGACGATCTCAGATTAGCGGAATCTGAGAAAGACTTGACGTCACTGTCAGTATTATCCTGGCTAAATTGATTAGAGAGGCGGCATTCCGTAGTAGCACTTCGATTCGTTGCTTTGGTATCATTAAGGTCCATCGACTCAAAGCTGCGCTTCCGAGAATACAGATCGACATTATCCTCGAGCCACGTGCTCACGTATGACTTTTCAAACTGGTCGTCTTCTGTACTGGCAAGAGTAGTTTTGTTTACCTGGGAAAATTCCTTCTTGAATGGATTACCGTCGTAATGTAGATTTGATGGAGCTGAAAATTTGATGGATTTTCTTGTTCGCTTCGATTGCATTCTGACGCGTGCAAAGTTTTATGTATTAACATTGTAATGCGAAACTATCACTATGATTCACTTACGATTAAACGGTTTTTTATTCAGCGCTTCCAATACGCTCATCCGTCTGCGAATAGTCTTAGAATAACCATCGGAATATAGATTTCGGTCTAATAAACGCTGTACCCAAATACAAAAGTAGATTCTCTTACAGAAATGTTGTTATGATTATACTGTTGAGATAGAGACATACCTGTACATACATGTTACCTTCCTCGAAAATATTGTCTGTTTTATCCATGACAAACACGTGTCGATTTGAATCATAAACGCACTGAGAGAACAAAAGTTTATTTAAGAAACTCGATAATTATTACATTCAATTGAAACGCTGCCCACACTGCATTTTGTTCAACTTGAAATCACTATTGAAATCACGGTCATGATGAAAATTTTTTTCAAGATTGAAAAATTTAGGCAGGGGTTAGTCACATAAAAAAGAGTCGAATGAACGAAAGATTTAAAAATCTGAAAATCGAATTAAAAATAGTGTAAGTACGGACGAAAGAACCACGAGGAGCCCTAACTCTCTTAATAGCCCAAAACCTACTGAACATACAAACCGTCGTTGTGTATATTACTGGCTATAAACCCCAGTCTTATCGTAAACCAGTACACAGGAACAAGTAGTTCTTCTGAGAATATTACAATATTAAGCTATGTATACATGTTATTCGTTATGATCCATAATTTAGTATGTAATTTGAAGATGTACTTTCTCTTCTTCAATGGAATACAAAGACTTGTGAAATAAAAGTATGGAATTATTTTTCGATTAGATCTATCAGATTTGAATTATTATTTTTCATCGATGTTAGTTTTATTTAATTTAATATTCAGCATCTTCTCTCAATGTACAATACATCGAATTCCTAAACCAATCGACTCTCCGATCTGCATTATAAAAAATGAAAATATTTTAATTAATATTTGAAGACATTAGTACTATTAAAACTTGTTAAAATCAAATACACATACAACGCATTTTTTACTGTAGAAACTGAGCTACTGCTTATCTCTGATACTATACATTGTAATTTACCTAACTTATGCAGAAACGTAGATTCTTGTCTCATGTGAGGTTTACGCCTGAGCGAAGCGAGGGTGGAAAGGCACGAGACGATAATCTCTTCCCTGAAGTTGTTAGGCATGGTATTTTTCAAAACAATTTGTGGAAAGTTTGAATTCTAGCGCAACTTGATTGCCGGGCAATTCTTGACTGTTTCAAACAGTTTAAAACATCAAATCACCAATTTTGTTCAAAGTTGGTAGACTTGTTACCTATACAGAGGTTAACATCTGTGCAGAGTTTTAGATCAAAATATTGATAAGGGGCCGACTTATCAACTGTTGAAAAAATATTGGACTTTTTTTTATTAATTCGATTTCTCGGAGACTAATAAAGATATGGACATGATTCGTTTTTTAAAAGACGCGGAAAGAGTTTCACTTTCAAATCGTAAATAGTAAAATACCAAATCATTTATTTATGCCATTGTTATAAACAATTTTTTCAAAAAATCGACGATATCTCAAAAACGATATTTTTTTTTTAATTTTTGCACCATCGTGTTCCTTGTCATTTTTCACATGAGAAACCTTTGAGAAAATCAAGTGACCGCTATTAGGATTAAGACAGCACTAAAATGAAACGAACCGCCCGGTAGCCGCTCGGCCGCTCGAACGTCCGCTACTCGTGCGGTTCCAACGTTACTTGCTGCAATTGCCTTTAATGAATAAATAATTTCATATTCCATCAATCTATATGTATTTATTTAAATAATATATAAATTAATTGATTAAATAAGTAATGTAAATGAACTATTTTTTTATACAATCTGATATAATATTGAAATTAAACATTTGCTCTCTGCGTTTGATCGAGCTTGAGACCGGCGCATATTTACGAAGCGGCCGGATTAAAAATGTTTTTTTATCGGACCTACACCATAATACTCTTAATAAGTTATTTTCAAGTAATTTGTTCTAACCTATTTTCTACCATATATTTTTGAATATACGTCATTCTCACGCCCGATCAAACGCACAGAGCAAATGTTTCATTGAATGTTGTTTCAGATATTACTTTATTTATATTACTTTATATTACGTTATATTAAGTAAATAAGTCATTAAATATAATTTAAATTTAATTATTTATTTGATTAATTTTATATTTATATATTATTTAAATAAATACATATAGACTGATAGAATATGAAATTATTTATTGGTTAAAGGCATTTGCCGCAAGCAACGTTGGAACCGCACGAGTAGCGGACGGCCGAGCGGCCGAGCGGCTAGCGGGCGGTTCGTTTCATTTTAGTGCTGTCTTAATCCTAATAGCGGGCACTTGATTTTCTCAACGGTTTCTTATGTAAAAAATGACAAGGAACACGATGGTGCCAAAAAAAAAATCGTTTTTTGAGATATCGTCGATTTTTTGACAAAATTGTTTGAAACAATGGCATAAATAAATGATTTGGTATTTTACTATTTACATTTTAAAAGTGAAACTCTTACCGCGTCTTTTAAAAAAAGAATCATGTCCATATCTTTATTAGTCTCCGAGAAATCGAATTAATAAAAAAAAAGTCCAATATTTTTTCAACAGTTGATAAGTCGGCCCCTTATCAATATTTTGATCTAAAACTCTGCACAGATGTTGACCTCTGTATAGGTAACAAGTCTACCAACTTTGAACAAAATTGGTGATTTGATGTTTTAAACTGTTTGAAACAGCCAAGAATTGCCCTGCCGAAGGTGCGGAAAAATTGTACTTTCTGCACGACGTGTTGAGAAACATCGAGTTGTACCTCATAGCAATTAAGATACTACTCATTGAGATTATCTTGTCATCGCCAGACTTCAATGTCATTTACGTAGTCATCAGAGATTTTAGAATAGTGATAAACGATAAAGGTCACGTTCAAGTCTCAAGAAGATGTAATAGCTATAGCCTATCATTTTACCGATGGTAGCTTTAGATAATTTATGCGAGGCCTGCAATGGCTTGGTCGGTAAGGTGACGAACTCGCACCTGGTCGGCCCGGGTTCGATTCCCAGTCCCTGCTGATTGATACAAGCACCGCTGAAAAAAGTTTCATGTGCTTCGTTCTCAAACGCAAAATATTATATTATCATCTCATTATAAATGTAATTACACATTGAAAATCACACACACTAACGACATCAATATTTTTAAATTATATGCAGAAATTGCATAAATTCAAATTCAAAAGCGATATGAGTACTTCTTATGCCCAATGTATTACATCACTTAAAATATAATTATGATTATTCTTCTGACTTATCTGGGATTCACATTGTAGTATTTGCTAAGATTTGAGTGCGATTTACCGAATGAAGTAATTCCCCGGTATAAGGAAAAACCACGCGTAATTAATCAAGATTAATTTCAAACATATTAGTATATATATATATATATATATATACATTAGGTGATAAGATTCACAAGGCTTTTTATGATTCACGTTAATTCATGATATCAACTTGTATATAAAACAGCAACGAATCTGAGACGATCATTAACTGCATTAGCATTTGTTCTGCAAGTATTTCCTAAATAAAGTAAGTATATTTGCATAAATTACACATTTTTATAGATGGATAAAATTTTATTGCATGTCAATATACTTGTATTTAATTTAAAGCAATTTTGTAACCTGTTTCTTTATTTAGTCAGTTTAGAGTCAAGTTCATTTGATGTAATCTTATACTGTGTGACTTATTTTGACAGTACCTATAACCAAAGATTATTTCAAATAGATAAAAATTAAATTTTTAGTCCATTGCTTCAAACAAAATTGATAATTATTCATTAATAATAATTAATTAACAATCTAAATTTTCTTTAATACAAATTATTATTTTGATCAATTTTAACTGAATTAAATTTTTGGAATATTTTACAGAAAAATTAATAATGAAGATTTTCGCATCTCTTCTACTTTTGGCTGTGTTGGCCATGATAGCAGTCGACGCTTATGTACCACCAGTACAAAAGCCACATCCAAATGCGCCAAAGTTCCCAACCTTCCCAGGTCAAGGACCATTTAATCCTCATGCTCGTCCAATTGTACATATTTTTAAACATTATCTATTAATTTCAACAAGAATCAGTCATAAAAATTAATAATATTATTCTTTTCAGCGATTCCGTCGTTCACCCCAAAATAATGGCCAAATTTCCGTGAACGGCAAGAAAGAAGGTGGACAAACTTCTTGGAACGTGGAAGGTCAGAAAAAAGTTTGGGGAAATGACCACGGTAGCATCCATATCAGTGGTGGAGCCAACAAACAGCCTGGTGGCAAACCCCAAGGACAAATTGGTATTGGTGGTGAATTCCATTGGGGTTAAATTTGATCAATCAGTACTTAACAATAAAAGTATTGTAAATTTTGTAAACTGTAAATAAATATAGATAATAACAACATTTCCTACGTAAATTGAAATAATAGTAAATTATTATCATTTCATTTTTCAATTATAATTAAAATTTTACGTATCAAAACGTAGCCCCGTGTACCGCTTCGTAGGAATCCATCATTTACAATGGGTACTTTATTTGAAATATAATGTTAAATATAAAAACTCTATTTCTGAAATATGTAATCGTTTAATCGAATAAAAATGTATATATTTTTATCAGTAATCTGCTGTTATCCATAATTCCCTACCAAAGTTCATATGAATGGAATGAAATTTCATGTCTACTTATTCCTTGGTATTAGACAGATATCAGAAATCTAATATCTTCTATTATAGTGAATTTTCAATTTTATTAGATGAAAAATACAGCGGAATATTATAAATTGAGCATCAATAAGATTTGCAGAAAAACTTCAAATTACCTAAATGGAATCCAAATAGCACCGCCGTATGTTATGAATATTTATTTGGATATTGGAATATGGGGGATTAATACAGAAATGTTATGCAATTTCGACTATTTTGCGACTATTTTCGACTTTTTTTCAAGATTTATTTTAGCAAATTCCTTTTGTCGACAATATAAAATCGTTTCTATTGAAATATTTCTTATTGGCTACTATTTTATATACATTTTCCATCTATTTTCTTCACCTCAGTAGTATTACTATACTATTATACTCTATGTCTTCATTTTCCTTGAAGTTTGCGAATCTTCGTGCTTCAGCGAACGTTCGTTAATAAAGTAAGTTTATAGAAACAATATTGTCACTTTTTGTGTCAATTATGTTATATATCAGTACAAGTTGATACGACACATGTTCTACTGCATGATTTGTACGGGCATATTAATATTGTGACAAATTGTTTTACGTATTTTATTTCCTATTTTATAATAGCTTTATTACCTTTTTACTAATTAGCTTTAGTTATTAGGGAAGCACTTTCAATCTTATTTTTACTATATAATTTTTTATTTCTGCAGTATTAAAGGGATTCTGAAATAGTTAAAATACTTTTTTCCAACAAAGAAGCAAAAGCAAAAGGAGAATTATAAATCATGCCATGATGAATATATAATTTTTTTTTAATCTGCTCTTTATTAAGTATCCACGTCACATTACTTTATTATAAAGTTGGCGTATATTTTACATCGAAATGAAATAGTTATAAAAATAAAAATATACTGAAATTGAATTTTAAATATAATAAGTTCAACTTTTTATATTTTCATATATTTATACAGGAAAATTTATACTCATGAGTATATTATAACACTAGCGTTCAATTATTTTACAAGTCCTACGTTTATTAATAATTTATTTACATTGCTTAAGATATTGTTGTGCTATTTTGTTTCAAATGATATTTAATTAGAACGTAAACTTTTATGAGCGTTGTAAACTATTAACATTTAAAATAGATTTAACGTAATTAGTAATTATCATAATTCTTCAATTATCTGTGACATTTGTATTTCCTCGTATATTAATTTTTGCACATTGTTTACGCAATTAATTTTATTGAGAACGAAATGAAATCCCCGAAATAAGGAAAGTTCGCAGATAATAATGAAGTAGGTAATACATTATGCCTACACTTAATGATAACATCTTTAACACAATTGATGGATGATATTAATTTATGAGAGCAACTTCTATATAAAGAAACAAAGTATCTCAGACGATCATTATTTCAATCGAAATAACCGACACGAGTATTTCCAATACAAAGTAAGTAATTGCCAACATTATATATCACAGCTGTCATTTATAAAAAACCCCGCACAAAACCAATGGAAAAATACTTTCGGTTAATTTAAATCTTACACTGACAAATCGATAGTTCGTAACATACTGATCAAATGTCTCCATGGGTACCATATCCGGAAACTCGTTTTTTAGGGACAAATCAAGGGTGTTAGCTCCAAAAATACATAGTATACGTCTTAGCCATTTTAAGACGACAATGATATGCTTTTATTGAATGCATGTACATTGATTTATATTTTGTGGACATTTGAAAGTCGATGCACATATAAATACTCACAACTTCTTTCTCTGATCCGTATATCTCTTTGTTTTACGCGAAAGTGATAGTGTACGGTGACCCATTCTCAGCCGAATCCAGGATCATCGGCGTGGACGTGATGGGCGTCTGATCCCTGTGTGTGTGTGTGTGTGCGTGCGTGTGCGTGTGGGTGTACGTATGCGGGTTTTTTTTTTTTTTTTTTTTTTTTTTTATTATTAAAGAGAGTTGGAGAATGCTTTATGCACGTAACGGCCTTCCGGCTCGTCCTGTGTGGGAATCCCTAAGCATGGTATACCAACTAAACTCCCATCTCTCTATGTCCTGCCTGTATCCCCCGCGGGAACCGCCGCTAGGCATTACTTCGCGGGGGGGCTTCTGCTATATTAGCCTTGTCTTCTTCATTACCATTCGGCTGTGTCGTTTTCTTCGATCTTCATCGTCTTCGGCTATGTTAGCCTCGTCTTCTTCTTACGGCATCGATTTACACGTCTTCTTCCAACGGCATCGTCCGGTCGTCTTCTTCTATCGGCATCGTCCGGTCATCCTCTGGACAGACTCCACCTCGACACCTACGTTCCTCTGCATCGGGTGAGGGAGTCTGGGCTCAACCCAATGTCCTTTACTCTCCCGCAAAGGCAGGGGAGCCCTTAGGATAGGCTGGCGCCTTGTTATCCTATGGATGTAGGTGACCCCAGATCCTACGTTCCTCTGCATCGGATGGGGTGACCGCGCTCTACCAACTACTCTGTGGTAGTTTAGGAGCGCTTATTAGTCCCATAGTCTGGCACCTCGCTCTATCTATGCATGATAGACCTGTCGCGTCTTCTCTCTTCCTCCTTTCTTACTTCGGTCAGCCGGTTTACCACTGACGTGGCAAAGGTCACTACCGTTTCCCATCCCTCTAGCGAGCCGAGCAGGCAAGCTCCGAGTCCTTCGGAACTCATTGGATCATTCCACTCCGTGCGGAAATGCATCCGTTCTTCAGCGAAGCGGGGACACACAAATAGGACATGTTCTACGTCCTCGTCAGTGCCTGGACAGGCTGGGCATTCGGCACCTGCATAGACACCGATGCGTTGAAGATAACTGCGGAAGCAGCCATGACCGGTGAGCACCTGTGTCAGTTGAAAGGTGAGGTGTCCGTGGCGCCTGCCTGTCCACTTGTCAATGTTCGGGATGATGCGATGAGTCCAGCGACCTTTCACTGCGTTGTCCCATTTTCTCTGCCATTCTCGCATTAAATTTTGCGTCCACCGTTTGCTGTGGACATGTCTATCAGCATTGTTCTCTTCGTTACGACCTCCTTCACGGTATATTTCTGCTCTGTCGCATGCTAGTAGGTCGATAGGCGCTATTCCAGCGATTACCGAAACTGCAATGTCCGATACAGTTCGGTATGCACGGGCAACTCGCAGCGCTGCTGCTCTGCAGACTCTTCGACACGTCCCTCCGTAGCTTGCATTATTTCTTAGCGCATCTGCCCATATAGGAGCTCCGTAGAGAATTACCGAGCTTACGACCGACGATAGGAGGGTTCTGCGTGGTTGCTTTGGCCCCCCGACGTTTGGCATGATACCTGCCAACGCCCTAGCAACGTTAGTGGCTTTGACATCTGTTTTCGAGAGGTGTTCCTTAAACAATAGCCGCGCATCTAGTATAACTCCCAGGTACCTCACCGTGTCAGTCGACTGTACTCGCTTATTTTCCACCGTGAATGTGGCATACTTCCGAGCTTTCGTGCGGGAGATGAGCACCGCTTCCGTCTTTTCCGCAGCGAGACTGAGCCCATGATCTTTTAGCCATCGGGCCACCACCTCGATGGAGGCGTTTCCTATATATTCTATTTCCTCAACGCTCTTTGCCGTGACCACTAGTGCTACATCATCGGCAAAAGCTATTATCTCTGTTCCCCTTGGGAACTGCTGTCTTATTAGACCGTCATATAGGACGTTCCATAGCAAGGGGTCAAGCACCGATCCCTGCGGCACTCCTCCCGTGATGTTGTATGAGTGTGTGCCATCGTCGGTGTTATAGTGCAGGATTCGGTTGCTTAAGTAGCTCGATAGGGCTCTACGCAAATACAGCGGCACCCTCAGTCCTTCCATGGCTGTCATAATGATGTCCCATCTTGCCGAGTTGAACGCATTTCGGATGTCTAATGCCATCACAGCGCACATGCGTCTTGCGCTCCGTCCTCCGCTAATGGCATCTTTGGCCAGGTTTACGAGGTGTGTTCAAAAAATAACGAGAATTTTCGTTTTATGAAAAAAATATTTATTTATTCATCTACATTAATGTTGTCGCCTTCAAAGTAGTTCCCTTCGGATACAATACACTTATGCCAACGCTTTTTCCAATCCTCGAAACACTTTTGAAACTCGATCTTTGTAATAGCTTTTAGCTCTTTCAGCGATTCGCTTTTAATGTCATCTATGCTTGTAAAACGACGGCCTTTTAATGTTCTCTTTATTTTTGGAAATAGAAAAAAGTCACATGGAGCCATATCTGGCGAATATGGAGGCTGAGGCATCGTTACAGTTTCGTTTTTGGCCAAAAATTCACGAACAAGCAATGAAGTGTGAGCAGGCGCATTATCGTGGTGCAAAAGCCATGAATTGTTTTGCCACAAATCCGGGCGTTTTTTTCGGATTGCTTCAAGCAAACGATGTTGAACTTGTACTGACTTGTACTAGTACTGCTTATTGATTGTTTGACCTTGTGGCAAGAATTCATAATGCACTATGCCATTAAAATCGAAGAACACAGTGAGCATAACCTTCACATTCGACCGCACTTGTCGAGCCTTTTTCGGTCTTGGCGATCCAGAATGCCTCCACTGGGACTATTGAGCCTTAGTTTCGACATCATATCCGTAAACCCATGTTTCGTCACCTGTTATAACACGTTTTAGTAGTTCTGCATCGTTATTGACTTCATTTAGCGACTCCTGAGCAACTTCCATTCGCCGCTGTTTTTGTTCGAATTTCAACAATTTTGGAACGAATTTTGCTGCCACACGTTTCATACCCAAAACATTCGAAAAAATTTGATGGCATGAGCCAACTGATATGCCAACATCATCAGCGACTTCTCTGATTGTGATTCGGCGATCGTTCATAACCATTTCTTTCACTTTTTTCACGTTTTCATCGGTTGTTGATGTCCTTGGGCGTCCGGGTCGTTCGTCATCTTCAACGTTTTCGTGGCCATCTTAGAAACGCTTATACCACTCATAAATCCTTGCTTTACTCATAGCAGACTCACTATATGCCTTTGTTAACATTTGACAAACTTTACTACACTTTATTTCATTTTTTACGCAAAATTTAATACAAATTCTTTGATCCATTTTTTTTCACAAACGAAAATCGCCGAGCTCGAAAAACACGTCTAACGTTAGCGGCTGCCACTTAAAAAGTAAGCAATGAATATTGCTGAAAATTTTATCGTACTTCAGGGGCATGTGTACCAACATAATAAAAAAAAATTTTATACAAGCGGACTCTCCAAACCCGCGAAATTTAAAAATTCTCGTTACTTTTTGAACACACCTCGTACAACTCGACCAATAGCGCCTAAGGTTGAACGGCCTTTTCTGAAGCTGAACTGGTTTCCAGACAGGTCCCCCGCTTCGGCTATAACTGCCTCCAATCTGGCATGGATTACTCTTTCCAGCAGTTTTCCTATAATGTCCAACATGCACAGTGGTCTGTAGGACGAAGGCTGCTCGGGAGGCTTATTTCCCTTGGATAGCAGGACCAGTCTTTGCAGCTTCCACGAGTTTGGGAAATGTCCTTCTCGCAGGCACGCACTAAATGTATCGCGAATTATTTCCGGGGCATTCAGTGCTGCCGTCTTGATCGCAATTCCCGGTATCCCATCCGGCCCTGGCGCTTTCCGGGTTCGAATTTTCTTCACGGCTACTATCAGTTCTGCTTGGGTTGGGTTGGGTTACTTCTGTAAACTCGGTTTCATCGTCTCTTTCCATTAGGCCTGTTTGTTCTGGTCTCTCCCGATGTCTTGGGAACAGATGTCGCACTACTCTGTCGAGGAATAATGGGCAAGATGGTGGTGCGCCACTCCTGGGCTTGATCTTGCGCATGACCGTTTTATACGGCCGGCCCCAGGGGTCCTTATCTACTTCCTCGCAGAAGTCTCGCCAGCACTGTCTCTTAGCTGCTTTGATGGTGACCTTGAGCAGTGATCGCAGCTCCTCATATTTTTCGGTCAGAGCCTGGAAGTTGGGCTTGTTCCGTGCTCTTTGATGGCGCCTTCTGGCTGTGAGACATTTATGTCTCAGGCTTGCGATGTCCTCGTTCCACCAATATACCGGTAGTCGACCTCTTGCGTTATTTTTTGCTGCCATGGATGCATCACATGCAGTTTTCAGAGCACGTGTGAGACCCTGCGCCTTTTCCTCCGCGGTTCCGGACACTGATGTTCCTTCGAGGGAGTAGAGAAATGACTCTCTGTCGAAGGTATTTGGTGCCCATCTCCTCTTGTTTTCCGTTGTCCTGATGGATACCGCTGGTTTGGTCAACTGGAGCCGGTACGTTATGGCTTGATGGTCACTGCCCGTGTACCGATCGCTGACTCTCCAGTTGAGCTCCTCCGTCAATAGTTTGGCATCTATGAAGGTAACATCCACTATGGACGATTTCCCCGCCTTGGAATATGTCGGGATCGTTCCTCTATTGGCTACCTCGAGCTCCAATACTCCAAACGCCTCTAGAAGTGCATGCCCGCGAGCATTTGTTTTCGCGCTGCCCCAGTTTACGGCCCATGCATTAAAATCGCCTGCGATGACTACCGGTAGGCGTGATGTCATTGCGCTGGTAACAATGTCATCCAAGGATTTCTTAAACTCGCTTATCTCTTCGCTAGGTGGGAGATAGCAACTATATATACGCATGCCAGCCACTTCTATCCACGTAAAGTTTGAGGTTGGATCGATCATTCTTGCCGATACGTGTAGGTGTCCGCATACCCAGACAGCCGCCCTACCAGTCGCATCTTTCACCCAGTTCGGCTCATCGAGATCACGGTACTTTTCGCTAACTATGACGATGTCGGCCCTTTCCTCCCTTACCAACTGGTGCAGCAGGTCTTGAGCCGCTGCACAGTGGTTGAGGTTGATTTGGAGTACTTTAGTCACTTTTAGCGTGAGGTCTCTCCGTCTTTGCTTCCGTGCAGTCCGCTGCCTTATGCCCCTCCTTTCTGCACCTGAAACACTGCTTGGAGCGGTCTTCATCGCTTTTGCAGTCCTTTGCGATGTGACCATTCTCCAGGCACCGGTAGCATCTTTGTGTCGGTGTGAAAGGCTGAACTCTACAATTCACCCATCCTATTCTCAGCTTCCCGTTTTCAAGTAGCTTTCTGGCCGCTGCTACCGGGAGCTGGATATGTGCCGCTTGTGTGCCGTTGTACAGTCCTCTGATTTTTATGCTGCTACTCGCAGCTGCCTCTGGTCCGATAACTGCAGCTACAGCTTCTATCACTTCCTCAGGTGTGGTTGTCTCATCCATGTCTTTGATCCTGAGGGTTTCCTTATCGGTCATCAGGTGGACTTCTGCAGACTTCTGTAGGATAGCCAGAACTGTCTCTTCGATATTTGGAGACGCCGTCCCTGGTTTCCCCAGTTCAAGGAGTAACTCTCCTGCTCTGGTGCGCCGTATTCGCGTAACTCGTTCTCCTATCTCCTTCATGTTTGGTGCTGCCTTGACCTTTCTCAGAATGTCGGCATACGACGTCCCGTCCAGTGCCTTGATCTTAATGGCTTCTGGGCGAGGTTTTCTTCGACTGGTCTTTCGGTGTTCTGACTCCGTGATTTTTCCTCTTCTTCTATCGTCATTATGCTGTTCCGTAGTCTTCTTCTTTTTTGTGGCTCTTCTTTTGGCTTCTGTCCACTCTTCTGTTCCGGGTTTCGACGCCCGTATTTCTTGCTCGGTTGTTTCTGCTTCGTCGGCCGGTGTCTTCTTCCCTTTCCTCGGTTTTTTGACCACTGGCGACTCTATTGGCGAATTTGGGTCCCGCTTTTTTCGCTTTTTCTCTGGTTTGGGGGACGTTTGCGTCTCTTCATCTTTTGCCGTTTTGTTGGCATTTTCCTTCGTACCACCTGCAGACCGTAGCTTTGCGTACTCATCAATAGTACTGTTTGCCCTTCTGGCCATGGTCTTTAATTCAGCGTGGAGGTTCTTTTTCTCCAGTATGAACTGCACCAGCTGTTTGACCTTCTTTTCTAAGCTCTTGAAGCATTTATCAGCTTCAAGTGCTTGCTCCTCCATATCTTCTCTCTCATTTGGTTTAGTTATATTGCTCATTTTGTTCCCACGAGTACCTAGGGAACTATCGGTCCGCTCCGGCAGAGCCCCGGTTGCCGGAGTAAGGTTAATTACGAGGGAGTTTCGCCAGGTGCTCCCAAGGCTCCGTTTGAGACTCTCTGTTACCCCCGAGAGCCAACAAGGCTACATCGGCACGGGTCGCTTCACACCTTCAGCTTGGGGGTCCGTTACCCTGAACGGGGACCCTTTAACAAGGTGCTATCATCCGGGCCAGATAAGGTTTTTTAACGAGGTTGATACTCCTCCCCCTCCTCCTTCCCTGCATCTTAAGTAGCAGGGTCCCGGGCTTGGGACCGGCGGTGGCGGAGTTGTACGTATGTGTGTGCGAGTGCGTATGTGTGTGTGATTGTGTGTGAATGTATGTATTTAAATGTAAGTCAGCGTGTGTATGTGTGTGTGAGTGTGTGTATGTAAATGTGTAAGTCAGTGTGTGTATGTGTGTGGGTTTGTGTATATATACGTGTGTGTATAAAACAAAAAAAATAAAAAAATAGAAACAATAAGCATAAAGCCTATTTCTTCTCTCTTCATTCACATTACTAATCTCTATTAACCGAGAGGATCTATTATTTCAATTAATTGATCAATATCCATCTGTGCATCTTGTACGCTTCGCAAAAATCTGAGCGATGGATAGTGCACCTGATTTTCATGTCGAGCGTATCCCAAATACCAAAGAATAGTTGCTACATGGGCGCAAGTTCCAAGAGTTCTTGCTCCAGCCTTGCATGTACAGTAGTAACCAAGAATAGGTTCTCCTTCATTTGCAACATCTTGCTCTTGATTATACTCCTCATTAAATGCTATCCATACTTGATGTTTCGTAGCATTTCTGAATCTAGAGGAAATTCTTATTCTCATAAAACCTGCTTCATTGGTATTCCGATCGATTTTAAAGGTTTGTTCATCTTCTCCGATTTCTTCTTCATTTTCCAACTCAGCCCTTAAAGAAGAATCCTGAACGTATGAAGGTGCCAGCCCAACTTGATAAGTTCCATAAGTTAATCCTCGTAAATATTCCAAAGTCAAATTCGGAAACAATGGCACATGCATTGCAGTTAGGTTATCCCATCGACCTCGTCTTCGTTGAAGACCTTCAACTTCTACTCGAGCTTGCACTAGATTGAGTTCGTTAACTTTATTTAACATCTGTTCTGCTAATTCTACGTTTGCATCAGGCATCATAATTATTCTATGATATTTATTTATTATAGCACCGGCTATACGCAGAAAATCAGTCAAGTTGGGAATATGAGACGTAGGAATAACGTTTGCAAAGAATTTAAATAAACTTTTCAGATGGCCATTTCTGGCTTCCACGATCCATCTAGTTTTTGTGATGATTCGAGCTTGGTTGGCATCTTCTGTTGAGAACTGAGCTTGATTACGATCAAGTAAAGGTGGCATCAATGTAACTAAGCCAATATCCGTTAAAATAGGAATGGCGTCTCGGTATCCGCGATCCAATATGAAAGTCTTGTGCTCTAAACCATCTTTGCATTCCGTCAACATCCATTTGGAACTCTTTTAAAAGGATTCTGGCATCATTGTTAGCGGCATTCGAAAAATAAGGTCCTTGAATATCAAGTATATATCCATCTGGAGCTACAAACATGGCAGGTTTTAATAAGTGTCTGTTCTTATGAACACAAAACGATTGACGCAAAGCTTTAAAACAAGAACTCTTCTCAATATTTAGATAAGTACAATCATTGTACACAATTGCCGTCGGTTCTTCAGGTGTGGCATTATACAAGCGATTTGCAAATGGTGTTATATGTCTTTCTATGTATTCCTCCCTTGTTATTGATCCAAACCCTATGTTCTCATCTACAAATCTCGTCATCAACGATTGTCGAACTGTACTGATTGCTAAACTCGTAGCTTGCCTTGAAGAATAATGGAACATTACCCATAAAAATTCATCCGAAAGACCCTGTTTTAACTTATACAGGAAACATAGAAGGTCTTTTTTAGACACATAACGATGGCCACCTGGAACGATGACAGGATCAGAGTATGTGAAAAGATCATTAAAGTTATCTTTTGAAATAGGAGAAATAGCTGCAAATTGTTCATCTGTTAAAGTGCGTTCATCTTCATATCTGCGTACAGGGCTATGCACAATTTCTTCACGCATCGCTTGAACAAATGATTGTAATTCTGGACCATTCAAAATGTATGGTCTATTAATGAACCTGAAATCTTCAATAATATTGAGTGGTAATAAACCCTTTTCATCCAAATGCTCATTACAGCAACAGTATCTTGCTGGCACATAAATGTTTCGCTCTACAAAAATATGAACTCTGGATTGCAAACTTAATCTGTGAATGTTAATACGTCTATGGCACACCAAACATTCATTATTAGTACGATGAGAAAGAACATTGAGTCGAGTGCAATTGAGATCAGCCTGTAACATTTGAATTTCACGGCGTATTGTTATATTACAATTGTTACAGATTCGAGTTTCAAGATCAATAGGAGCTTCTGGTCTTCCATTCTCCAAGCGTCTTGTAAAAGCGATTTCTCGTAGAAGGTCATCTTCAGCGTTAGCCAAACGTACCATTACTCTAGCATGTAAAGCGTTAGGGCAAATATAGCAAGGAATCCGACATCTATTAGCCATTTTAACAACCAGAAATAATTATATTCTTTTGCAATGAAATCAAATCAGTACTGTACAGTTAATTATTTTCTACGATGAAGACTTGTATTTTTTGTATTCTACTGTATCCCAGTATACATTGTAAGACATGTAAATCAACAGCGTAAGCATTTATTTCTGGGTGTATAATTAATAAACGTTGTTCAAATAACAATGAATAAGGAAGTCTGAAGAAGACTGCCCTGGATTTATTCTAAACTAAGATTATTTTTAAGAATTGAGAAAAGAAATATTACTACGATCTCTCTACAAGCCACGAACTCTTCTCCGCAATATCCTGCAATGGTGGACTGCAGTGGTGGCAGCCTCATAACCATGCATATTGAGATTACAATGGCAAGAGTTGGTATTTTTAGAAAAAAAGGAATGTTTTTTTAAAAATATAGAATTGTGTATCGGCTTACGACTACTGACCGGCCATCGTCAGTATGAAACAAGTAGTCGCTTTCGTAGACACATATTGAAAAAAATAACGAAACAGTTCTACTTAAGGATTATGGCAAACAAAAAGTTCTAGAGAGAGTGAGGCTCCTATCTAGTGGTGAAAAAGTGAAATGAAATATATAAAAAGTGAAATGAAATATATAAAAAGTGAAATGAAATATTCAAACTCGATTACTCCTGGGCTAGTCTCTCAATAACAAGTCGAGTTTCAATATTTCATTGTGCATTTTCTGACACACTAACATGCATAATGAATAACACACACAAACACTAACACACGTAGATAATTACACATGAACTAACCCACACACACATAAACTCACACACACACACACACACACACACACACACACACACACACACACACACACACACACACACACACACACACACACACACACACACACACACAGAGGGATCAGACGCCCATCACGTCCACGCCGATGATCCTGGATTCGGCTGAGAATGGGTCACCGTACACTATCACTTTCGCGTAAAACAAAGAGATATACGGATCAGAGAAAGAAGTTGTGAGTATTTATATGTGCATCGACTTTCAAATGTCCACAAAATATAAATCAATGTACATGCATTCAATAAAAGCATATCATTGTCGTCTTAAAATGGCTAAGACGTATACTATGTATTTTTGGAGCTAACACCCTTGATTTGTCCCTAAAAAACGAGTTTCCGGATATGGTACCCATGGAGACATTTGATCAGTATGTTACGAACTATCGATTTGTCAGTGTAAGATTTAAATTAACCGAAAGTATTTTTCCATTGGTTTTGTGCGGGGTTTTTTAAAGATTTTTTATTAAACTGGTTTTAAGAATGGGTTACTCTAAATGCTCCTCATTACACTTTTCTCAAATATTATTCATGATCTATTGTAATATGGTATTGTGTTTCTTTCTTATTCAGCAAATAAATAAATTTTTATTATAATTGATGTCATAGTTGTCTTAAAATCTTTGGTAGAATTGAAATTTCAAAAATGTAACATCAAGCATTCGTTAGCAACTTTTTCTCAAGCGTTATTCTTGGTCAACAATTTATGCATATGTTTATGTATATAATAATATTTTATTTTTGTTAAACAGAAATACGAACAATGAAAGTCTTTGCATCTCTTCTTCTATTGGCAGTCTTAGCCATATTAGTAGTAGACGCTTACGTACCACCAGTAAAGAAACCTCATCCTAACGTGCCAAAGTTCCCAACTTTCCCAGGTCAAGGCTCATTCACTCCTTTCAGTTATGTAAGTTCTTAATTGTTAGAACTATGAAAATTATAAAATATCCTTTAACATTATAATCAACAATCATTAACTACAGCGTATCCGTCGTTCACCCCAAAATAATGGCCAAATTTCCGTGAACGGCAAGAAAGAAGGTGGACAAACTTCTTGGAACGTGGAAGGTCAGAAAAAAGTTTGGGGAAATGACCACGGTAGCATCCATATCAGTGGTGGAGCCAACAAACAGCCTGGTGGCAAACCCCAAGGACAAATTGGTATTGGTGGTGAATTCCATTGGGGTTAAATTTGATCAATCAGTACTTAACAATAAAAGTATTGTAAATTTTGTAAAATGTAAATAAATATAGATAATAACAACATTTCCTACGTAAATTGAAATAATAGTAAATTATTATCATTTCATTTTTCAATTATAATTATATTTTTACGTATCAAAACGTAGCCCCGTGTACCGCTTCGTAGGAATCCATCATTTACAATGGGTACTTTATTTGAAATATAATGTAAAATATAAAAACTCTATTTCTGAAATATGTAATCGTTTAATCGAATAAAAATGTATTTATTTCTATCAGTAATCTGCTGTTATCCATAATCCCCTACCATAGTTCATAAGAATGGAATGAAATTTCATGTCTACTTATTCCTTGGTATTAGACAGATATCAGAAATCTAATATCTTCCATTATAGTGAATTTTCAATTTTATTAGATGAAAAATACAGCGGAATATTATAAATTGAGCATCAATAAGATTTGCAGAAAAACTTCAAATTACCTAAATAGAATCCAAATAGCACCGCCGTACGTTATGAATATTTATTTGGATATTGGAATATGGGGGATTAATACAGAAATGTTATGCAATTTCGACTATTTTGCGACTATTTTCGACTTTTTTTCAAGATTTATTTTAGCAAATTCCTTTTGTCGACAATATAAAATCGTTTCTATTGAAATATTTCTTATTGGCTACTATTTTATATACATTTTCCATCTATTTTCTTCACCTCAGTAGTATTACTATACTATTATACTCTATGTCTTCATTTTCCTTGAAGTTTGCGAATCTTCGTGCTTCAGCGAACGTTCGTTAATAAAGTAAGTTTATAGAAACAATATTGTCACTTTTTGTGTCAATTATGTTATATACCAGTACAAGTTGATACGACACATGTTCTACTGCATGATTTGTACGGGCATATTAATATTGTGACAAATTGTTTTACGTATTTTATTCCCTATTTTATAATAGCTTTATTACCTTTTTACTAATTAGCTTTAGTTATTAGGGAAGCACTTTCAATCTTATTTTTACTATATAACTTTTTATTTCTGCAGTATTAAAGGGATTCTGAAATTGTTAAAATTCTTTTTTCCAACAAAGAAGCAAAAGCAAAAGGAGATTTATAAATCATGCCATGATGAATATATAATTTTTTTTTAATCTGCTCTTTATTAAGTATCCACGTCACATTACTTTATTATAAAGTTGGCGTATATTTTACATCGAAATGAAATAGTTATAAAAATAAAAATATACTGAAATTGAGTTTTAAATATAATAAGTTCAACTTTTTATATTTTCATATATTTATACAGGAAAATTTATACTCATTAGTATATTACAACACTAGCGTTCAATTATTTTACAAGTCCTACGTTTATTAATATTGTATTTACATTGCTTAAGATATTTTTGTGCTATTTTGTTTCAAATGATATTTAATTAGAACGTAAACTTTTATGAGCGTTGTAAACTATTAACATTTAAAATAGATTTAACGTAATTAGTAATTATCATAATTCTTCAATTATCTGTGACATTTGTATTTCCTCGTATATTAATTTTTGCACATTGTTTACGCAATTAATTTTATTGAGAACGAAATGAAATCCCCGAAATAAGGAAAGTTCGCAGATAATAATGAAGTAGGTAATACATTATGCCTACACTTAATGATAACATCTGTAACACAATTGATGGATGATATTAATTTATGAAAGCAACTTCTATATAAAGAAACAAAGTATCTCAGACGATCATTATTTCAATCGAAATAACCTACATGAGTATTTCCAATACAAAGTAAGTAATTGCCAACATTATATATCACAGCTGTCATTTATAATTTTAAAGATTTTTTATTAAACAGGTTTTAAAAATGGGTTACTCTAAATGCTCTTCATTACACTTTTCTCAAATATTATTCATGATCTATTGTAATATGGTATTGTGTTTCTTTCTTATTCAGCAAATAAATAAATTTTTATTATAATTGATGTCATAGTTGTCTTAAAATCTTTGGTAGAATTGAAATTTCAAAAATGTAACATCAAGCATTCGTTAGCAACTTTTTCTCAAGCGTTATTCTTGGTCAACAATTTATGCATATGTTTATGTATATAATAATATTTTATTTTTGTTAAACAGAAATACGAACAATGAAAGTCTTTGCATCTCTTCTTCTATTGGCAGTCTTAGCCATATTAGTAGTAGACGCTTACGTACCACCAGTAAAGAAACCTCATCCTAACGTGCCAAAGTTCCCAACTTTCCCAGGTCAAGGCTCATTCACTCCTTTCAGTTATGTAAGTTCTTAATTGTTAGAACTATGAAAATTATAAAATATCCTTTAACATTATAATCAACAATCATTAACTACAGCGTATCCGTCGTTCACCCCAAAATAATGGCCAAATTTCCGTGAACGGCAAGAAAGAAGGTGGACAAACTTCTTGGAACGTGGAAGGTCAGAAAAAAGTTTGGGGAAATGACCACGGTAGCATCCATATCAGTGGTGGAGCCAACAAACAGCCTGGTGGCAAACCCCAAGGACAAATTGGTATTGGTGGTGAATTCCAATGGGGTTGAATTTGATCAGTTATTATATCCTAGTGTAAAATTAGCAACTTATGCAGAATGTACTTAAGGAGAGATAATAAGTCTTTTTAGACAGTTAAAATAGAAATATATTAATTTTATTCAGTTCGATCGATGAGATAAAATTAAAACCACACAATCCGAATAACGGGAAAAATATTGATAAAAGCTACTTAAAATGTAATTTCAAAGCCATTATTTCCTTCAAGTTTTTCATACATTGGTTACGTAGCTTTATCTTCTAGATAAATAATAAAATTTTTGCCCGTGTCAATTTATTTTCTTGCATTCGTATAATTGTGAGCTCCTCTCTTACTAATGTATTGCTTTAGTTTCAATGTATTTGATGTTTCGTGATATAAATAAAAATCTTTTTTCATATAATTTTAAAAATCTTACAATGGACAATTTTTGATAATAGATTATAAATTACTCACTTTGATGATGCAAATAGACATACTCCAATAATTACAGATGCTACTACAGTAGAGAATAGTTGTAACGCAGAGTTTCATTTTTCTAATTTAAATTCAGTTGAATATTATGTTTGATATAGCAAATCATTTTTATTATAGAATTATTTATTATATCTTTAAATTTAAGTCTAAATAGATTGATATAAAAATATTTATGAACTCTCGTTTAAACATTTGACCAAAAATTAAAAATATGTTATCAAAATACTATACCGTATTATACAGAGTGCACTGAAAAGAAGAAAAAGAATATTCCAGGGAAAAGAGACATGACGTTCATTTTTAGTTAATGATCAAGAACGACACGCCATCTGACAAAAAAAAATTTTACAGTATCTTTGATTTATTTCAATATTACAAAAGAGCGTTAGTTATCAGTCATAGATAAGTTATAATGAAGTATCTTTAACTACAATAATATTTTATTTAAAAGTACTCCAGTCGTTTTTCTAATGGAAAAAAAAATAATATTTTGATATGATTTTGAAGTAAGCTCTGCATATAATATGGTTTTAGAAAATAAATGAAATAGAATGATATTTATACGATTTAAAAGGTAGTTAAATCACTAAATAATGGCAATGCTTCACGATTGTAATCGATTGAATAAACAATTATCTTATTTCGAAATTAATGAGAAAAGCCATATATTTACAGCTAATTTAGCATTAATTCGATATGTAAGTGGTAGGAGAGGTAAGTGTATATGCTAATAACTAGAAGGAACCAATAAGTACAGGTACCTACTATATCTCTGCAGTGTTCCACATTGTTCTTGAAGTAATAATAACAAGAACTATAATTTATGTTAAAACTTACAAAAAACTTTTTACACATTTTACATTTATTAGATTTTACAAAATTTCAATTCAGATATTATTAAAAAATATATACATTATAAAAATAACTATAGAAATCGCTGGTATACAATAATAGAGTATGCTATTTCATTCTCACCTGCACTTATATATAGTCCTAATTCTTGAAAAAGACAAATATATAGAAACGATACTGAATCATATTTATCGAATGAAAACTTTACTTTTTTTCTTTGAACTCACTACTTTTTTACTAAAATTTTACTGTTGAATAAAAACTTCAAATTCGATTATTCCTTTAGGATTATCACCTTTCTTTTGTATGACTCCAGTAATCAAAGTTACACTCACACCATTTTTATGATATATTTTGCTTTCACCTATTAATTCCCATTCAAGTTTATAATCAACGATGTTCAATGAAGCACTTAAGCCGTTTTTTCTAGCTTTAATATTAACAAATTTTTCAGTCTCATTGAAGTTTTTCAGAGAAGCACCAACATTCATGGTAATGCTGATATCATTTTTATTGTAATATGTATTTTTACCATTTATGCTAAATTTAGGTTTTCCATCAACAAAATTCATCTCAACACCTATGTTACTGCTGTTTTTTGTACTTTCAATACAGAAAAATGTGTCAAACTTATTAGTTTTCTGCTGAGATACTTTAGTCGTTAGAATCACATCTTTATCATTTTTAATGGAATTTTTTTTTTTACCAGTCACGCTCCACCCTGATATTTCTTCAACTATTTTTACTTCAGCACCAAGACCATTGCCATTTTTCGTACCTTCGATACCAAGCGTCACTTCAGGTTTACTATCTTTTTGTTGAGAAGCATGAAATTTCAGAAATACATCTTTACCGTTTGTATCGATGATTTTTTGTTCAACCTTTATATCCAATTTAGGTTTTTTACCGAAAACTGTTGCTCTAATTTTAATATTACGACTAGTTTTTTTGGATTGAGTACTATTAGACGCATTGGATTCACTACTTATCTGTGAAAATACTTCAGTCTTCATAGGAACACTATTAGCATTTGTTTTCTCAGTGACATTGACAATTTTTACGGTTGAAGCAAGTTCAGTTCGTACTGTTT